CGGAGGGTTGATTTGAGGGGTTGAAAAGTTATGAAAAATTGTATCATTGGGATTTCTGGCAAAAGTTAACGTCAAACAAAAAAGTATCAAATACAAAAGTTGTAGATCATGCAAAAATCCACAACTTTTGTATGAGTAGAGGTCACTTTTTAACATAACCTCAAAATTTTCGAGAAAAATGCGAAAAACAGGTTTTTTCAGATTTTTCGTTTTTTATTTCCCATTTCCGCAAAAATAATTTAATTCCAAAGTTGGTGAGTAGATAGGCTACCTTCATTCTGTGACAAAATCCCATGTATTTTCTTATGGAGGTTCATTTTGCAAATTTTTGACCAATTTTACCCCCTCCACTCCTCCTTTTGGTCCCGCCCCCCGTTTAGATCGACCAATCAGATTGCAGTATTCCGAACCAATCAGATTATGTGACCTTTAAAAAAAATGTCAATTTTCAACACAGTATTGTGGTATTTTGTCGATTTGTATTGTTGACTTTTGAGTTGATGTAAAAAAAATAAGTAAATATTTTTGTGTGGACCATATTAGGTCTACCATTTTTCAGTGTAATTAAAAAAAAATAACGTATGGTATTGAAATTTGTTGCTCCCCAATTTAATTAATATTAAATACATTTAATAATTTTAGGTACAAGAATCTTCTGACCAAGAAATACGGTATTCATCAGGCTCTGAATATTGTCCTAGTGGTTCTGACACAACGGTAATAAACTTTTACTTATTCGATACATTTTCTTAACATTCATTTTTAAATTAAAATTTTAGATTTATTCCTATTCTTAGTAAAAAGTATGTGATATAATATTGCAGGAAACAACTACTCTGCGGGCTAATGCCCCGACCAGCATTGAATTACACCTGCAACATCTCGCAAGTAGCTAAGAATATTCGTCAGTAGTACTACCAGACATGCCGGTTTCGGGCTTGTTAGTTTTCATCAGTTTGCCACAGGTGAAACGATAGACGAATGAACTAGCTATTCTTCATCTGTACGAAGTGACATGAACTGAGTGCAGATGACATGCATGACCCGCACACATCGATCGTCTCACCTATGGCATACTGATGAAGGCTAACAAGCCCGAAATCGGTATATGTCTGGTGGTACTACTGACGAATGTTCTTAGCTGTTCGCGAAATGTTGCAGGCGTAATTCAATGCTGGTAGTCGGGGTATTAGCCCACAGAGTTGTTGTTTCCTGCAATGTCATTATACAGGGCGTTTCAGGATTAAGTCGACAAACGTTAAGAACATGTTCCTCAGAAAAAAATAAGTAAAAAAATACCTATAGACATAGGGCCGAAAACGCTTTGTTTTCGAGATATACATTTTTTGTTTTAGAAGTTATAAAAAAATGTAAAATGCAAGAGTTGCACGATTTTTTATGAAGTTTTCGAAAATAATAGTAGAAAAACAAGAGAAGTCCAACCAAAATGGCCGCGGATGTTAACTTTGTTAATTTAAATGGAACCCCCTGTATATTTTTACATATTTGGATAGAATCTGTAAGAATAAGCGAAATACTATTAGCAAACGACATGAAGGTTTTTTTATTAAGAAAGTAAGATAACTAGGTGCCTATCTTGTAATTGTTAGACCTCTTTTACGCATTTCTTCCCTTTTTCAATTACGTAAGGATCCATAGATTTACTTGTAATATATTTTATTTCATACTGTCCGGTATATTGCTATTTCCCGGATTCATTTGCGGCCGGTAAGTGAGCTATTACAGTATTAGAGCCGGTAAATTCATTTGCGGCCGGTAAGTGAGCTATTACAGTATCAGAGCCGGTAAATGTTGCCTAGCAACGTGATATTAGACATGTCACAAACAATATTATAAAATGACAGATCAAGCGATGTCAAACAAAAATTTGATAATTTTAAGGAAAAAATAGAAATTTCTGCTCGTTAAAAATAGAAAGACAGTATGAAATAAAATATCATACGATACACGGCCGTTAGGTGTTATTACAGTACTCGTTTTTATTCCGGACTCGGCTCCTACGTCGCCTCGTCCGTAAAACAACTCGTAATGTAATAAGTCACCTACCGGACTTGTAACGTAAAATACTATTGT